AACAGCAGCAGCCAAAGGATTTATGCCCAGCCCTGAGTCCATCTGAGCCGTGTTTGTGCGCCATTATCTAGCAATGCAGGGGTGGGCAAGGCTTATCTTCAGTGCACAGCTACAACCAACCAGCTGGCTCTGCAAGAGTTAGGTGGACCAAGAAAAGCTATTGTTTCAGGAACAAAGAGTGTTTGACAAAAACTGAAGCTGTTTGGGTGGTTCTGAACTGGGTAGTGGCATATGTCCTTTTAAGAGAAATGCAGTCTGCCTACAGCCTTGTGGTCTTTAGTGGTCATGTCAGGCCATCCCACCTTAACAGATAAATCCATGTGTAGATAGCAGCTGCAGAACTTTTGATTCTGCTTGTTTAGCAAGTTCTCCCCACTGCTAGTGTGCCTTCCAAAAGGGAGCTTCCCACAACTGGAACCGTGGAGCCTCCTCTGTCTTTCAGCTACTTGCAGTTTTTCAGTGTCCTGACTAGCACTTTTAAGTTCTGCATATTGTGATTATCTTCCCCAGTATCTAAAATAAAATCAATTTCCTGTTTCAGTATCAGATGAGCTCTCTTTTCAAATGAGTTTTTTTTGAGTGAACTGAGTGACTTCGAAGCTGTGGAAGCAACCACCTTTTTCTCTCTACTGGGTTCTTTCAGATACCAGATCTTAAGAACATGGGGACTTGCAGCAGCCTGAACACCCTTTCCTATTGTGTAACTGTCACTGAACTGCTGCCATGTTTCAGCTGAAGAACATGTCCATCCTAACTTGGCTCTTGACTGGTCTTAGAGCACTCTTCTTTTTGCTGAAAGACAAAAAAAAGGAAAACACTTTATAATTAGTCATTAGAATAATTTCCAGAGTTGCTTTACACTCGTTTGGCTATGCAACTATGCTATAAATACTAGGCTCTTCCAGATACTGGTTTAACAGTTGCCTCCCCACAATTTCATTTAGAACATTTTAAAAAGGCACAGAAGCCTTCCACTCTTTCCTGTTTTTCCAAGCTCACAATGTATTCTCAGCATTAAGATACTTGGAAACAGTAACATGATATACAAGTACTTACCTGTTCTTCCTAGCTGAACTCATCCTCTCACTTTTCACCTTGAAGCTCCAGAAACTTTTTGGCAAACAGCTCCATAGGAAACAATTAAAATAAACCAACCTTCATCACAGCTTCTTCATCCACTATCATCTGAGCAGTAACTTTCATTTGAAAGCGTTTACACCCTCCCCCCACAGGCTTTGAAATAAGCAGTTGGTCAGTGACACTTCCTCTCCTTCCCCCAAAGGGACTTACAGCCAGGATAACTGAAAGAGGATCTAAAACCAAAATTTATGTGTCAAGACTAGCATAAATGGTATCAATCTTAGAAACCATATTCCACTTTGTTTCAGTGCACATTGTAAATCTTTTTGTTCAGTGAATCTGTATACCAGGAATCACATTATGCCTGACCATAATTTCCAAGAATCCCAACAGTTCCCTGCTGCACTGACACGGATGTGACAGTGGCAGTAGATCTAGACCACCACACACCTCAAAAATGATGACATGATGTGTTAGTATACTCCACCTTGCAATCTGTGTTTTTTATGCAGCCTGGCTTTGTATACTACCCAGTGAAATTTAAGCATCCAAATGCTTGATTTCTTTAAGAGCACACTTGTCAGAATGAGCACTGAGACACGAAGACAGGTTTCTACATATGAACTTGGATTAAACTTAGACTGAGCATTTTCTTCTTTGAGCGAAGTCATCACACATTCCTACTTCTTCGTCTCTCCTTCAGGATCTTCCAACTGATTCTCCAGGTCAGGAAACTGGGTGGTTGCTTACTAGAGTCCACAGTGCCCAAAATCACTTCAGTAACAATGACAACCCATAGGTATTGCAGTGCAGCATAGTAAAGTACATATAAACTTCTCAGCTGCACAGGCTGAGGACCACACAGACACTGGAGCAGGTTTTCATTAACAGCGTTAAAGCAGAGCATACTGAAACAGGCGGGTTTTCAGTTCTCTTGTCACCTTTTATCTTTTCATAAGAGATGCAGCCACACCACGTATTTCTGCAACAGCACTGTAAGCTTCTTAGACACTGCAATTAAGGCCTGTTGGGTCAGGATAGATTTGGACATTGGCACTTTCAGGTGACCAGATTATCCAAGTCTGAGACACATAACACACGTTTCATCATGAACATCTCTGACAAGCTGTGACCAACAAGATCCATACACTGGCAAGCATCAAATTCTCCAAAACAGACCAAAGTGAACAACACACACAGAGAAAACTTGTTTTACTTCTCTCTTGCACCAGGTGTTCATTTGGATCGTTTCTGAAGCCATTTATTTTTTCCTACCTTAGATGAGGTATCAGTGGCACCTACATCTACAGATAAAGAAATAAGATATAAATAACAACATACAATTATCTGTGAAGTGGGGTGCACAGCATTCTCCTCAGAGCAGCATCACTGACTGCATGGGGATGGGGAGGGACTGAAGGGAACCACTGCAGGTCAAACCAAATTGCTTCTAAACCAGTTTAACAAAACATACTGTCGTTCAGCCAGCAAACCATCCTGGATGAGAATTTCACATGCACTTTTTCTGACAGTTATAGAAAAGATAATCAAGCTTGACCCAACCATTCCACTGCAATATTTACCATCCTTACCAGGTATCAGCTGCAGAGATAAAAGCATAGGCCTAAACTCTACAGTGGGCAACAGCTGTGACAGAAGTCATCGTGCCACTGCCCTTTATTTCGCCCACAGCTCCCCAGTCGAAAGGTATCTGCATAGAGGAGAAACAGAATAAGGAAAGAAATAAAAAGGGCTGTACTTGTAATTTGGAATTCTCCAGATATATGGAACTATTGATGCTACAAATTTTATTAAGAGAGCATTACACCCCCACCACTCCTTTTCTTCAGTGAGAAGCATGATAAAACAGGAGAACCTGCTTGTGAGGAGACGCACCCTCAGAACACTGGACTTTTTGCAGGATGGCATGCAAGTGGCTCAGTTTCTTTTAGTACCAGCAAATTTTGAAAGGCCACAATGTCCAGGTGAAGTATCTACAGAACATCACAACATCCTTCCTCCAGCACTTGTGTATCCTGTGGCACACACACCACCTGTGTAGTTATTGGGCAGCAACATCCTGAGCAAATGCATCGTACTTACCTCCAGGAGGAGCCAAAGAATGAAAAAAACCCTTGTGACTCCATTTTACCTGAGCTGTACCACTACTGGACTTTAGCCAAGACTTCAAGCAAGCCTGCAAAACTCTTCACAACTCTTTCCAATTAAATGTCCTCCTGGCACAATGAAGTGCTTTATTTCACAGGAATCAGCTGTAACTAGAAATGGTATTATTTCACAAGCCATGCAACACTTTCACCATCTTCCCTTCCAGTTTCAAGCACCAGCCTTCTACATATGGTTTCAGGGAACTCCAGTCCTCTTAAGGCTCACAGAGCTTTGACTACTCTCTCATTTGGTGAACGTGTATTTCCCATCCCCCAGCACAAAAGACTAGCACAAACAGGGATAATGTTCACTACACCAAAGTCTAAAAGCACTGCTCAAAAATTCCAGCCTACTTCCTGCATGCCAGCCAGAGGGCTGAAACTAAGACAGCACCTAGTCAGCTGGCTAAGCCCTGCCAATGCAAGACAGCAAGCACAGACAAAACAGTGGCAGACCAAGTCATCTTGGCCGCTCCCATACCACGCTGAGATGTCCTACACCATCTCATTTGCACTCTCAGCTTTTCCGAACATGATTTACATGTCTATGGACACAGAATTATACATTTGGGTTACAAGTGACCTCAAAGACCATCTGGTTTCAACCCTCTCCTGCCATGGGCAGGGACACCTTCCAGCAGACCAGGCTGCCCAGTGCCCCATCCAGCCTGGCCTTGAACAGTTCCAGGGATGGGACATCCACAGCTTCTCCGAGCAACCTGTGATGGTGCCTCACCACCCCCACAATAAAGAATTTCTGCTTTATATCTAATCTCAATCTAACCCCTTCCAGACATACTAAGGACTTTAAAAGGAAGCAAAGCTCCTCCTGCTGGTCACACCAAGCCGTATGTCTCTGACAACCAGACACCATTAGTACAATTATCAGGCATCGGACAGAGCCAGAACCCTTAAAAAACAACCTGAAACCAGGGAAGCGCAGGCTTCGCCGTCACAGACCTGCCGTGTGACAAGGGCACGTTCCAATCTGCTCCCTGCAGACAGCCGCCCCACCAAGCCCACCCTGCTCATTAACCCACAGGCCGTACTTGGTCCAAGGGCCAAGCGCCGTGGCTGGTGCAGCCCGCACGGGCCCCTCACCCGAACGGCGCGGGGGGCACAGCCCAAGAGCCAGCGGGCCACCCCGGCTCCTGCGCCACTGCACAGAGCGGCCTGCCCGTCCGCCAGCAGCACCGCCCAGCGCCCGAGACCGGCCGCCGCTCCTGCCACACACCCACCGAGCCCCGGGACAGACCCCCACCCCGCGGCCCCGCTCCCATCACCGAGAGGCGCTGCCTCAGCCAGAGCCGGCAGTCACCGAGTGACAATCGGCCGTGTCCTTCAGGGCACCCCTCCCCTCCCTGCCGCGCCCCTCCGGCTATTCCTCAGCCTCCCCCTTCTTTCTCAACCGCTCGCACAAGCTCTTCTTTGTCCCTTAAACCAAGACAAGACTCGCACCCTTCCCCCTTTTCCGACATCTTAACCCGGCTCCCCGACCGCTCCTCCAGAGCTAAGCGTCCCGCGCCATCAACATGGCGGCAACCACCGCCTCCTTCCCTACCCCGCTCCCCAACGCGGCCGCGCGGCGCGGGATCTGCCGGGAAATGGAGTCCACGCCCTGCACACTGCCGCGCTGTGGGAGCCCCAAAGAAACTACAAACCCCAGAAGCCGCCGCTGCCAAGGGGTGCCAGCCAATGGCGAGACGGCGGCGCGGGCAGTGGCCCCGCCTCGGCGGGCGAGAGGGGTGATGTCATTGCCCAGCGGGGGCCGCGGGGGCGCGCTGCGCGCCGCCGCTCATTGTGCTGGGCCGGTGCCGCGTCCGCTCCCGGAGCCGGCGGGGCCGCGCTCCCGCTGCTGCTGCGCTGCCGGGCGGGCGGCCCTGCGCGCATCCCCGCACACGGCTGCCTTGCGCCCAGCCCTGCAGCTCCTGTCCCGGCCGCGCTGGCCCCAGGGTGGCTCGACAGCGTTCCGGAGGGCTGCGCTGCGCTGCGCTGCACGGGCGGTGGGGACTGAACACGCGTCCCCGAGCGGGACTGCCTTGCGCCCAACCCCGCTGCACACATCCCGGGGAGCTGCCCTGCGCCGGGAGGGTGGCCAGCACCCATCCCGGTGGAAGTGGGCTGCCTCGCGCTCACCGGCGGGGTCCGCAGCTAGCCCGGCGTGCGGGGCTGCAGCGCCCAGCCCCGCTGCCCGTCCCCAGCGTGCGGCGGCCCGGGGCTGCCGCTCCTTCCCACCGCCGCTGACCGGCTCCTGGCTCCCGCCTCGTTTTATGGTCGTGGAGAGGGAGGAAAAATCCCAAACCAGGTGAGTTCTGCGCTGCTCTTCTCTTTTTGTGTGCTTTTCCGTGTCCTGTTACCTCCTCCCTCCCAGGCCCCCATCTCCCGATGCCCTTCCCGCACTGTGCGCTCCTCAGCGGGGAGCAGCGCTGCCGGGCGGGACTGCGCTGTCGTTCCCTGGTCCTGCTGAAAAAGGAGGGGCGGGAGGGACGGGGAAGGGGGGGGGAACCTAACCCGCTACATGGTCTCATCCCGCGGAGATGAGTCTCTCTCGCTGCTGTTCGGGCCCGGGGCTGCGCGTCCCGCAGCCCCCGGGAAACTCCCGAAACTCCGGGACGTTTCGGGCGCCCCGGAGATGCGCGGTCCCGGGCCGGCGGGGAGCCCTGTCTCGTTTGCCTCCCTCGCTGGGTAAGAGTGGAAAATAAGATGGATTTTGAATTGCTGTCGTTAAGCGCCGCAGAGCCTGAGAGAGCCGGGCTCCTGAGGACAGAAGGAATACGAGGTGTGCTGTAGGGTGGTTTTGGGGGCGTTGGTGGGCTGTGCGCGGCTTCGTTGCTTTGACACCGCTATTCCTCCCCTCTTTCAGGGAAACGGGGCAGATTTGAATCCAGCTGGCTCTGCACACAGCTCAGTCCTGGCTGTGTGCAGTTGGTCCAGGTTTCTTTTCCAAGTCACATCATGAGTTAGTATGTTAAAAATTCTTGGCTGGACAGTCTGATGTTTTATTTCAACTTCCAAACTACTGTTCTGATCTTTTTCACTTTTATTGTAAATACAAGAAGTGTCTCTGTTTTAAACTTTGTAGAAACTTCGTGCTCCAGCAGAGCTTCATTTTGGTGTGACTTTTTATTTGTTTCCCTGTTCCTTGCTGTTTGTGAGGTGCAATTTGGTTCTTTACTTGAGCAGTCCTAAGATATTAGTACAACATAAGAGATTTTTTTTCGTTATTATGTGACATCAGAAGGTTTTATCCCCTTCTGTAACTAAATTACTTCTGCAATTGCTGGTGGACCCCAGACACCTCATTTTGTGCTGGTGGCAATGAAATGTGTGCACACAGAGGGGTCCTGCTCGCTTCAAGTCTGTCAGTATCTTTCAGTGCCTTTTAAAGTTAATTTTCACCAAAGCCCCACTTGGAGGCTGTTCTGAGAGCAGCAAGAGTGTACAGCTGAGCTGATATTTTTAATTTTTTTCCTCCCCTCTGCTGCATATTTGCTTCTGCGCTTCTCTTGTGTAACTGGCACTGTGTGTCCTCTGGCAGGGCTCTCCCTGGAATTGCAGTGCTGGGGAGAGGGTGACATGAGTGCAAAGGGGACAATGAAACTCCCTGTTTGGTTTGCTCAAAGTGTTTGTAAACACCCAGGCGGTGTTGGGGTGTCCGTGTGCAAGGGATGGTGCTTTACAGCTTCCCCTCTTCCAGTGGGATAAACATGCTGCATCCACACCTCCTTGCATTTATTTTAACTGGGTTTTTTCCTTCCTTCCTCTTTACTACTGACTCAAAGGGGAAGAACAACAGTGCAGGCAGGCGTTGCCTTTGGTTGATCTTTTTTTAACATTTTTGTTTCCTGGAATGGCGTTTTCCTCTTTATTTTACAAGGGAGGGAACAGAGAATTTAATGGAGTGTTTCCCATCTTGGCTGTAAAAGGAGAAGTTTTATAGCAGTGATTTTGTTAGCTTGGGATAGAAGGCACTGGATATGAAGTGGTAATTTGAAAGTGTAGCCTGGGAATTGTTCTGGGAAATACTGATATAGAAGTTGGTGAGAAGAAGCAAAGAATCCATGGCCAGGGATTTTGCATTTAAATATCACAATTTTTGTGATGCATATATTTTAAAATTCTGTTTTCATCTTTCTATATGTATATATCTTGAACAAAACAAGCATAAATAGCAATGCATATGTATTTTATAACAATACATATGTATTTTTTATACATATGTGTATGTTTTTCAAAATTTATTACATTTTTTGGATTTAGAAAGACTTGTGACAATGTATGTTAGCATTGTCAAGCTATATTATACCATATCAGGAAGTGGATTAAAAACGTATCTCAGAAATATACACTATTGTATCAATTGGCTTAAATTTTGCCTTTCAGAAACTGAAATACAGACACATGAAAAGGGACTGAAAAAAGCTGAAAATCACTCAATGATTGCTGTGAAAAAACCCAGATGAACTAGGGGACCCTTCCTCTTGTCCCACAAAGACCTAAATGCAGTGTATATATTTACTCTGAATCAAGAATTCTCCAAAATGCTGGTTGTTGGAAGCAAAGAAAATGTCCCAGGAAGGCAGCACTAAACATTTCCTCAGGTCTCTTACTTTTTCCCCCCATTTCTTACTTGTGTGCAGTTTCCAAAGGGAAATTTAGGATTAGGTGGTCTCATGGTCATACTCTGCAGAGTTTTCTTGTCTTTTAGTCCTGTTTCTCATGAAATTGAGTATGATGCCAATTATTGGCTTCCTAGTGAATCTAGAAATCACATCCTTGCAATTGGGTTTTATGGGCATCACCTGTGTGCCCTGAACTGTGTTAAATTGCCTGTCCCAGAAGCGTTGCTGCCCTGGGATGCTTGCATGTCACCCAACCTCGTGTACGGGAAACCCAAAGACTGGTGGGATGAGGGGAACTGGGAAGAGCCAGAGCTGGGCCAGCCTTGCTGGCTTTTCAGCTTAACTTTCCTCTTTGCTCCAGAGATGAGCTGTGAGAGTACAGGGATTTCTGTAGCCTGTGGCTCTTCAGGGAGGAACTGCGGAGTTGCTTCCCAAGCAAGCAAGGGGAGAACAGTGTTTGCAGGCAAACAACCCCCATTTGTCACTCTGCTGTGACAGAGCTTTTCTCTGTTGGCTGCTCTGTGCCCTGTGCTCCCCATCTTCCCAGATCCAGCTGCAGGTGGTAGGTGTTCCTCACAGCCTGGGCTGGAGTGTGGTGGCTCTCTAATGCAAGCTGTAGAGAGCTTGTGGTTTGAGCTGCCTTGGTTTGGGTCCAAGCTGGCATCCCTCAACTGGCAAATTGAGACACTTGCTCTGAGTTTTGTGGTGTGTCCCAGAGAGGTGTATTTGCAGCTGGGTGTTTTGTGGGAGGCATAGGTTTGTTGGCATTTTCTTATTTTTACATAAAATGTAGCCAAACAAGGAATTATAATAGCTGGGATCTAGATAGATTCTGTTTCTCTTTTTAAGGCTAATTGCCTTTTTTTAAGGACAGGACCAGCAGTTTGAGTGCAAGCCTTGCTCTCTGAGTACAGAAGGAGGAGTGGGGAATGTGCTAGGTGCTAGATCGTGCATGTTGTCAAATAACCACCCAGGCAGTGAGAAAATTAGAGAGATTCATTGCAACTGTGTGGCTGGCATGGCAGCAGTGCAGAAAGTAGCACAAGATGGGCATACCTTGCAGTGATGAAGCTCTTTTAGATACTGATGCTCATGTGGATGTTTGCAAAACTTTGGAACAGGAGATTTAGGAGACAGTAAAATAATTTCCTATATTACAGATGGGTTTCTGACCCCAAAAACATCAGCCCAGTTGGAGAGATCTTAGGGCAGTTGGAGAGGTCTTGAGGCAGAGATGCTCAGCAACAGCTCTGCTTTGGCTGGAGGGCAGATGAGATGACCTGAGGCAGTGTTTTGATTGACTTCCTACTTTCCACAATTTCATTTTGCAGCAAGTCATTTAGCTTCCCGCTCCCTCCCAGTGCTTCTGTCAATAACTAACTAAATTCTCCTTTTATTTTTAATGGCTCTCTTACAGCGGGAAAGAAGTGGTCTGTCATGTTTGTCATATAATCCTGGTTGGCCTGTGAATAAATCATGGATTTAAAGTGGGGGGAGGGAAGGGGTTGAGTCAAATATTCCTCAGGTGCTAATATGTTGAAATAATTAGGACATAACAGGGATAAAACTTGTCCCTTAAAATCATTGTCAGCTTTTAAACAATCAAGACCACACTGAAGTCTGTTGCTGTTGCGGTAGTTTCATAAATAATTTGTGCTATTAAACATTGGCCCTGCATAAGGTATTAGTGAGATTTGTGTTGTAATGTCATTTGATTTCACCTTGCATAGATAAAAATTATTAGAGAGCTTTGTTGCTTTGGGTTGAGGAGAGATATTTAGGTTGTGAGCAGCTTGAGATTCACTTGCTATTTGTCATCTCTCCTCTCCTGGAGTTACTGCTTTCACTACACTGCAGAGGTGCACAGCTCTCTAATATACTTAAGGCAAAATTTAAACCTATTTAAAACCTATTTAACCTAGCTATTAGTTTCCTGAGATAATTAGGGAATACTTGTACAAACACAGGAGAAAACCTTCAGTTAAGTCTCACAGAAATCTGCTGCTGTCCTTTTAAAACATCACAGGATACCCTGTTTATTTTCTTTCCTTTTAGCAGAAATACTGTCTTTTGAGTACTGCTGAACTAAAAAGTTAACTGTAACCTTTAAGTATCTGAATAGTGTTTTCTTTTAGACCTTGAAAAGAGTAATGAGAAAAGGAAAGAGAGAAGAGGAAAGGGAGGAAAGGCTGTGCTGGCATGAAAAAAGATGAGCTTGTGCATGGTTTCTTAAAAGACTATATCCTGCAGGCTGAATTTAAAAGGGGAGGGAAAAAAAAAGAGGTGTTAGAGATGCCAGAGTACAGAAGTCAAGCCGTGCTTGGGTTACTGTGTCCTGCTAAAGATGCCCTCCATAGCGAGAGGGACTTCATGAAGGGCCCCAGCAGCCCAACCCACTCCTGCCCTGTGCTGCTTCTCCTCTGCAAGGAAGGTTCCAAAAACCCAGCTCTGCTTTTTTTGATTAAGCAAAAACTCAGTTTCTCAAAGGGCAGCATGTGTGCATTTAAAGTGGGAGTATTTCTTGATATAAATCCAGGCTGTTGTTTGTAAAAGAGAATTGTCATGGAACTACCATCCCGTAGGCTGGTGCTGAGCCTTGGTGCCAATTTTTTTGGAACAGTGCAGAAAATGAATCTGACTGCGTATGAGAGTCTCGCATCCCCCACAGTAACAATCATTTGCA